TCCACTCATTATCCAGCAAACAGGTAATGAGAATGCTCAAACTTATTGGGTAGAAAGGGTGACCAAGTCACGAGTGGTTTAATCTTCGAATCTGATTGGTCGAGACGACACAAAACCTGAGCAATCCCGGATTACCATCGACACCCAACAGAAAATTGCCATATTCAGCAAAACCCAAAGCGATTTTACTTACTTGGAGCAAGAAGACAGCTGAATAACGGAAGAAGGAAACAGGGGTCGTAAAGGTCTTGGAGTCCTTCACAAGTAAATTCCATCTGGACTTGAGGCTGGCAAAGAATTTAAAGAAACAAATGAAGACAGCCTGACCTTCCGATTTATATACGAATTCAGCGCACTGTGTAGATCAGGGGTTCACAGTTTTCGGCCTATTGAGCTTGTGCCAGGCTATTGGTCACCGTCGCTCTCCATAACCTCCCCCCCCCCCAGTTTTTCCTTCGTTTACGCAAGGTGAGTGCCTAAAACGAGAATATGACGGATTTAGACCGGGGGAATTCCGAAAATGAAGGTGAGGGGGAGGGGGGTAGGGGATCCCAATCCGTTAAAATACTGGGTTTGCAATACACTATTTGGTTGTCTAGTCACAAGTTTCCAGACGGTTGGATTGGACGTGGTTGCCCATGACGACAAGGTGTTGTGAAGTCATGGCCATAGATAACGTACAGGCTAGTGACCTTGCTAAAGGCAAAATTGTGACCAGTACTAAAGAACTTCACCTGTGAAGATTCAAGTATAGTACATATTTCCATGTCGGAACCGAAAGCCATCATGTTAGCCATGCCATGCTGATGAAATTTCATAGAGCGCTCTTCGATCGAGAGTTATAAAAACAAAACGTGATGATCATAGCAGCCAATCTCAACAAAGGAAAGATCACAAGGGGCAATGAGAACTCAAAGTAAAAACAAGAAAACTCCCTGAAGCGAGGGAAAACACAGGTGAACAAGTTGCGATTGGTTCAAGCTTTTGGCGCAAATTTTCTGGACCAATCGACACTCGGTTGAAAATTGCTTTGAGGTCAAAATGTTGTGCGTGGCTGCTTACTAACTGGCTTTTTTTTCTTTTATCTTAGGAAGTTAAGAACTCATGTCATTACCATTGTTGCCTTACTCTGTGACTTCCATATACCATTTACCTGAAAAAAATTTCAAGAAAAAGAGATCAATTGGCCAAACATTTCTTACCTGTAAAGGCCTGCCCTGAGGAAAGGACACCACTGACTGGTACATTTTGCTGGCAGCCATTTGTTCCATCACTTCAGTGACAGTTGGTTGTTGCAGCAGGGATGGACCCAGGCTCTTAGAGACTTGATGATGGCGCGCAGCAGCTGGGCCCCAGAGAAAAGGTCTGCGGAGAAAAGGGTGCCCAAGATAAGCGTTATTTCAAAGAATTGTTTTTTCCACTGTCTCGAATCCAATCAAAGTCCCCTGCTTCACTTAGTTGTTACTATTTCCACTTTCACAATCTTTCTCACATGTCACTCATTTCAAGACCAGATTTTAAGGAACTGGAGTCCTTTAAATGAATAGATCTAATTGTAGTTAGCACTCTGTTTTAAGAACACGCCTTGGATGCTTATTCTTACAGATTTCTTATCTCTAGCTTTTCACTCTNGAGAAAAGGCTGCTTAAAGTTTAGCTTGCTAGACTTTGGATCGAGATGTCTGGGTTTAAGCCCTAGCCGGCTCACTGCGCTGTCTTATAACTCTAACATGGCGGCTTTCCTCTTCTGGACCACCTCTGGTAAAGGTTAGTTGGGGGTTACCTGCGAAAAGCATTACACCCAGTTGTTTCAAATTGATGAGACCGGGGTGTGCTGCTGTAGTAAGCCTCCACCCTTTAGCGAGAGGTTGTAGCGGATCCGTTTGTTTACATTGCGACGAAATGTAGCAAGAGTGCACTGAATCTTTGACTCTAACATATCCGTAATTATCTCAATTAGACGAGGATTACCTGAAGTTCCTAAATGATAAGTGGTTTTTCTCATACAGATTCATCAGATACAAAACAGACTGATCTGCAAACAAAAAGCAGAAACATGCTAAACTACGGTGATGCAAAATCCATTTTCCCCAGCCACAAATGAGCTCTGTAGCACCGAGGCAGTCATCTGCCATGTACACTAAGACATGACTGGGGAAAAATAGTTGCGTGCCTTTAAAAAAAACATGATCTGGTAAAGGGGAAAATGAAACTCAACGGAAGGGCAAAAGATAAGGCGGAAATAAAGATAATTTCTGTTTTCTTCACCAGTTTGACTTTATTTGAAAAAAACGTGGAATAGTTCTGTAACACTGACATAAAAGTGAAGCAACGTGGCAACTGTCAACACGATACCAACAAATTCGGAAGTGGATGAAACGAAACCAGAGGCCGATCAAATCAGCGAGGTGACGTTATTTATCCTTTCCGTAAAATTCTTGGACTTTCCCCTTCACCCTTTAATCTCCAAGATGTGATGGTTAATTCTCCCCTCAAGCTGCCTCACTGCAACACATTTCCTTATACATTAGTTGTGAGAGTTTGGTGTTAAGATTAAGATAACAACATCTACCAGATAAGTTTGAGAATTCTCATTACCTGTTTGGTGAATAATGTATGAACATTCTAGTGAGAAGTTACATGTTAATCACTTCTGGAAGTTAAAGGGTTAAGACGCCTGGTAACTGTGTGAGTTGCGCAGCTCTAAGCTAGTTTTCGAGCGTTCCTTGGTCAAACGAGTACAAAACACACTACAGTGTGTTACGGTCTCACGATCTGATTTGGTGAAAGGAACAGTAAATATTGAAAAAAGACGAAGGGTTTTGTACCTGTGCCTGACAAGCTGGCAGAATAGGCTGCAAACAGTACAGGAAGGTGCGAAGACTTGCAGCAGCTGGGACTTAACTCTACAATTGTGACCATCAAGTCTGC